GCATGACACACTTTATTAAAAACCTCAGAGTAGTCACACTTTTAGATCTAATAATTCCAGTTAGAGGAATCTCTGTTTAAAAAATAATTCTCGGGGCACCTGGATGGCTCAGCCATTAGGCGTCTGCCTTCGGCTCGGGTCATGATCCCGGGGTCCTGGGATCGAGCCCTGCATTGGGCTCCCTGCTGAGCAGGAGGCCTGCTTCTCCCTCTCCCACTCCCCCTGCTTGTGTTCAACTCTCTCGCTGTGTCTCTCTCTCTCAAATAAGTAAGTAAAAATCTTTTTAAAGAAATAAAATAAAAAATAATTCTCCGGGCTCCTGGGTGGCTCAGTTGTTAAGCGTCTGCCTTCGGCTCAGGTCATGATCCCGGGGTCCTGGGATTGAGCCCCGCATCGGGCTCCCTGCTCAGCAGGAAGCCTACTTCTCCCTCTGCCACTCCCCCTGCTTGTGTTCCCTCTCTTGCTGTCTCTCTCTCTGTCAAATAAATAAATGATCTTTAAAAAAAATTCTCAAAAGGGAAAACAGCTTTATGCATTCATACGGCCACCACAATGTTATTTATAATAAAAAAGTGGAAACACCGTAATGGTACAATAATCAGGAAATGATTAAACCTTAGCATATCTACTTGTTGCAACAACAACAACGAAAGTAACAGCTGACATTTGCTGAGTGTATAGTATGTGCCAGGCACTATAATAAATGCTTTGGATGTAATAAACCCAAAGCATTCTCACAACAACTCATGATATGTTACTGTTACGATCCCCATTTTACTGGCGAGGGAATCGAGGCTTAAAGACGTTAAGCAACATTCCCCGGGATACACAACTAGCGTGTGAGTGGCAGAGTTTGGCCTCATACCCTTGAGCAGCAGGATTCCACAGCCCAGTCTTAATTGTGCTGTTACTGCAGCCAACAAAAGTACACTTAAATAACACAAAAATGTTAAAATTGTAATAAAAACAGATACAGACCACATAGAGTACTATCCTAACTACATTTTGTGTTTTTTTTAGTACTTTTAGTACTCTCTACAGCCAACATGGGACTCAGATCCACAACCCCAAGATCACGAGTTGCACACTCCACCGACTGATCTAGCAGGCTCCCCTATGTTTTGTTTTGTTTTTTAGGATTTTATTTATTTATTTGACAGAGAGACAGAGCACAAGCAGGGGGAGTGGCAGGCAGAGGGAGAAGCAGGCTCCTGGCTGAGCAGGGAGCCCGATGTGGGACTCGATCCCAGAACCCTGGGATCATACCTGAGCCAAAGGCAGACGTCCAACCAACTGAGCCACCCAGGCTCCCCCCTTAACTATTTTCTTTTAAAAGACTTCTGTACCGAAACAAAAATATTAGAAAGGAACACACCAAAATATTTACCATGTTGGGGTAGCATATTACTGTTCTTCAGCTGCAAGTGACAGAAACCCATGTAGACTGACTGAAGTGTTTTGTTTTTTAAAAGGAGAGGTAAAATGTATTGGCTTCATAATTTAAATCTTTCAGGCATGACTAGATCCAGGGGCCCAAATAATATCATCAGGACCCATTCATTCTCTCTCTCCCTCCATCTTTCCACTCCTTTTTCCTCTATAACCTTAGTGAATGTTCCAGCATACCTCCTGAGATTGACTAAGTGGGCCAATATGAACAATCGTCTGGGGTCAGGAGGATGCATTGTTCAGACTGGCCGAATCTGGGTCTTGTGCCCATCCTTGGAACCAGGGATTGGGTCAGTCCCACCCAAACCATGTAGACTGACAGTAGCTACAGAGAGCCATTTCCCAAAGGAAAGCCCAGGAATTATCAGAATTATCAGAATCAGCACTCCAGAATTCCATAATGCCTCTGGGAATGGTCAGAGAGCATTCACAAGCAGGATGCATAAGAACAGAGTGGGGGGCTTAACACTTTTAGGGTTTCCTTCCTGTAAAGGATGAAGTAAGGAAAGGGACACCAGGCAGGCAAAAGCAGGAGCCAAATACTGGTGATATGACTGAGTAGTTATTTTTCTATTTAAAACATTTAAAAATTTCCTCCTTGGGGGCGCCTTGGGTGACTCAGTCAGTTAAGCATCTAACTCTTGATTAATGCTCAGGCCGTGATCTCAGGGTCATGAGATGGAGCCCCAAGTCAGGCTCCACGTTCAGCACGGAATCTGCTTGGGATTCTCTCTCTCTCTCTCCCTCTGCCCCTTTCCCTGCTCCCTCTCACACATGCTCTCTCTCAAATTAAAAAAATAAAATTTTTAAAAAGAAAAAAAAAAGAATGTCTCCTGTGGACAGCATATAGTTAGGTCTTGCTTTTCTATGCAGTATGACAATCTCTATCTCAATTAAAATGTTTAGTCTAATTAATGTAATGTAACTATTGATATTTGAATTAGTTCTATAATTTTGCTACTTGTTTTTTGTTTTTCCCATCTGTTTTTTGTTTTTCTTGCCTATTTTGGGGTCAGTTGAATATTTTTTACAATTCTGTTTTAATTTCTGCGTGTACTGATTTTAATTCAGAAAAATAGTTTCAAGAAAATCTCATCAATTCAGCCAGCATTGTTGCTCATTTCTCTTTGTTCCGGCAGGATAATGAAAGCCCTTGGCAATGCTGGAGTGCCTGTCCCCAGAGTTCTTGGCCTCTGTGAAGATTCAGGGTAATGTTCAGATTTATTTCTTTCATTACATATTCAAACTACAGAAGAGAAAAGCCCATATAGTAGCTCAAATCCCAGTTTGTTGAAGACAAAATTTGGGTGAGAGAGAACAGAGACTTTATAGCAACCTCCCCTGGAAGTTCACAGATCTTTAAGTTATCCTGAAAGATAAAGAAATGCCTGCTTTTGTGAAAATTGGTAGAAAACATTTTTTTATCTTTTAAAAAATTTATATCCATCTAGTTTCATGTTGCTTGTTTTTGTTAATTTTTTATTGTGGTCCTTTTTTTTTTTTAAGATTTTATTTATTTGACAGAGAGAGACAGCGAGAGAGGGAACACAAGCAGGGGGAGTGGGAGAGGGAGAAGCAGACTTCCCGCCGGGCAGGGAGCCCAATGCGGGGCTCAATCCCAGGACCCTGAGATCATGACCTGAGCCGAAGGCAGACGCTTAACGACTGAGCCACCCAGGTGACCCAGGATAAACAGTTTTAATGGTAGCCTTTTCAAAACAACTTTTTAGAATAGGAAACTGATTTCTAGTAACGACTAAAGAATGGATTAATGACATTTTGTTGTGTCACCTTAATATTATGGGTGGTATATGTGTCACTCACACTACCAGATAATGATAGAAATAACATCACTAAGAAGAAGGGATATTTATTGAAGCCTCATTGGAACCAGACAGTCCATGTATATTTGCTCCCCTAATTCTTACAACAACCCTTTGAAGTTTTACAGATTAAAACAACAAAGCCCAGAGAGGGTTAGTAAGTCTCTCATGATCGCACTGCTAGGAAGGGGCAGAGGTGGGATTTAAACCTGGTTCTGGGGCGCCTGGGTGGCTCAGTTGGTTAAGCAACTGCCTTCAGCTCAGGTCATGATCCTGGAGTCCCGGGATCGAGTCCCACATCAGGCTCCCTGCTCTGTGGGGAGTCTGCTTCTCCCTCTGACCCTCTTCCCTCTCGTGCTCTCTATCTCTCATTCTCTCTCTCTCAAATAAATAATAAAATAAAATCTTTGAAAAAAATAAATAAATAAACCTGGTTCTGTATGGCTCTGAAGTCCCCCTCTCAACATGCTGCTTTCCTTCATTATCACACTTAATCTCCATTCCCGTCGCTTCCACGAGTGAAGCAAACAGAAGAGAGACATGCTGGCAGAAACGTATAGACAGGGCTGTGTGTGTGGATGGTTTGGGGATGGGGTACTTCTAACCCTCTGTGCTGATGTATGAAGGAAAGGAAATGTCCAGCACTCTGGGTCTGAACTCCTTCCCCAGCACTTGGAGCAAACACATAGAGCAATGCTGGGGCACCTGAGTGGCCCAGTCTGTTGAGCGGCTGGCTCTTTTTGGCTCAGGTCATGATCTCAGGGTCCTGGGATTGAGCCCCACGTTGGGCTCCACACTCAGTGGGGAGTCTGCCTGAGGATTCTCTCTCTCTCTCCCTCTGCCCCTCCCCCTTCTCTCTCATGTGCACATGTTCTCTAAAATAAATAATCTTAAAAAAAAAAAAAAAGCAATGCCATGACTAGCAGCCTGCCATATTATGAGCTGGACCACTGAAACCCCCTGTCTGTGTCCTTCCCAGGGTCATTGGCACTCCCTTCTATGTGATGGAATACTGCCCAGGCCTCATCTACAGACACCCCTCTCTGCCAGGCTTGGAGCCCAGCCAGAGGCGGGCCATATACACTGCCATGAACAGAGTCTTGTGCAAAATTCACAGTGTGGACCTCAAGGCTGCAGGCCTAGAAGACTATGGGAAACATGGTGAGCAAGAGGTCATTTGTCTTTTGTGCTGACGGGTTCCTCATTGGTGCCCGTTTCAGGATTTGCATCATGTCAGGGTGTTAATGCACCTAGTGTTTGCTAAATGTGAGGTGGGCTTCTTAGCCCCCTACCTGGAAATCCAGTTTCATTTTAATGGAAGTGTCATTTACCTAGATATATTATCCTTGGATACGTCCCTTCACGGCCTACAGAATCTCTCTTCCCTGCAACTTTGATCTTGCTGGACCATTTCAGCATCAGTATCTTCTGTTTTTTACTCTTTCCCTAAATATTCTTTCAACAGGGGATAGACTTTTAAAATGCCATTATGCCAAGGTATTTTGTTTGTAGAGTTTGTTTCTGCTTGTTTTTTTACTGTCTGAGAGTTCCAGTTCTTCATCCTCATTGTTAGTGTCAGTTTCTTTCTTTCTTTCTTTTTTTCTTTCTTTCTTTCTTTCTTTCTTTCTTTCTTTCTTTCTTTCTTTCTTTCTTTCTTTCTTTCTTTCTTTCTTTTCTTTCTTTTCTTTCTTTTCTTTCTTTTCTTTCTTTTCTTTCTTTTCTTTCTTCTTTTTCTTTCTTGTCAGGTGTATTGAAGTGTAGCAGTCTATAAATGTGACAGACACACACTATTTTAAAACCACCATCACCAACTGTCTCCATGCACAAACTTTAGCACGAGCCAAAGAATTTCAGTTTTTCTGCCCTGCAAAGTTCAAGAGTATTTGACTTTTGACCAGTATGTATTCTTGGCTATAGTCAAAAAGAATCCCCCAGCTATGTTTTCTTCTTTCTCTGCTTTTAACCAAAACGTGTTTTCCGTAGGACCACATCAAAGGCTGTAGTATGTCTCCTGTGTACATCACCTTCCTGCCATTTCTGCCAAGTCACCTAAAGCCCCACCTCTCCACAGGCACATGAGCTGAGTCCCCACAAGTAATCAGTTTGAAACACTTTGCTACCATAGAGAAAGCTTGCTGACTTTCCAGCCCAAACTGAGGGGGTTCTCCCCATCCCTTTAAGTACAGCCAGATCCATGCCATCCCCCCCCATATTCTAACCTGTTGACTAGAGATACCAACTCTAGTGGTAACCTCTACCTCATTTGGAAATAAAAATTTGTTGTTTATCTGAAATTCACATTTAACTGGGTATCCGGTATTTTATCTGGCAGACCTAGTCACCAGTAAAAAGGCCAGTAGGCAAAGACAACACATGTTGTCCATATTGAGCCATTGTTTCAAGATGGAAAGAGCACTGGAGCAGAAGTTGGATGCTAATTTGTCAGGGACCTTGGGCAAGTCACCTTACTTTGTCATCGTTTTCTCAATAGTAAACGTTGGGTTAAAAAAAACCATCTTTTGGGCGCCTGGGTGGCTCAGTTGGTTAAGCGACTGCCTTCGGCTCAGGTCATGATCCTGGAGTCCCGGGATCGAGTCCCACATCGGGCTCCCTGCTCGGCGGGGAGTCTGCTTCTCCCTCTGACCCTCCCCCGTCTCATGCTCTCTATCTCATTCTCTCTCTCAAATAAATAAATAAAATCTTTAAAAAAAAAAACAAAAAACCATCTTTTGCTGCCATGGCTACCCCAGTGCTTTGAATGAAGATGAAGCCTCAGGCAGATGCAGTGATGGGCAGTGTGACATCCTGTCCTGGAGAGACAACAGCTTATGGAAGTCCCTCCCATGTGCTGTCTGAGTGGATCCTTTGCCTTTTATTTTTAAAGTAGACTGTTTTGATGCTCCTTCCACCGACCTCTTAGCACAAAGAGGCAGAGCAGAAATCTGATGTAATTTCATGTGACCCAAGGGCCACTGGCTGTGTTTTGAGCCTGATAGCATACAGCAGCTTCATCATGCTTCAGGTTCACTGATCCAGCTACAGAGGCATCAGATCTTCCTTTTCAAGAAACCTGCAATTTCTCTGGTGGTATCAGGAATCCTGCTGCTGGGCAGGGCATTGGCTATAAATAGCTACTACCTTTGTGCAAAGGGTGGCATATTTAAATAAATTTACATATTCAGATACATTTAAATATTTGCTTGCACAAGTGAATATCTCCAAGAAACTGGTCACATGGGTTGCCTCTGGGGAAGAAGAGCTGAGTGGCTGGGCAGAGGATGGGAGAAAGACTACTGTACATCCTTCTATCACTTTATTCCAAGCCATGGGAATGTATTATCTATTCAAGAGTGCACATTTACATTTATTAAAAAAAAAGAGAGATTGCACACAAACATGATTTCTAATTAAGAGGGACTTTTGACAAAGATCCTTTAGGTACAGTCCAGTTACCATAAAGAACATTTCTACCACCAATGACCTGCAGGGAGCACATAATCCTCTTTTCGTATCCCAGAGGGGCAGTCTGCTTGAGGAAGGATGTTTCCATGACTTGGCGGGCCTGATAGAGACCAGTGGCCAACAGAGCCAGAGACACAGGGGGCAGCTGTGTCTGTTTCCCCTGAGAAAGGAATGTGTGCAGCGCTGGTTGGTGTGTTTGGGGTGGAAGGTCCCAAATCCATATAGATTTTCCTGAAAGCCTCCTTTCACAAAGGCTCAACTCCTGTGTATGGTTGTTGTTGTTTTTTTTTATAAGATTTTATTTATTTATTTGACAGAGAGAGACACAGCAAGAGAGGGAACACAAGCAGGGGGAATGGGAGAGGGAGAAGCAGGTCTCCGGCGGAGCAGAGAGCCCAATGCGGGGCTTGATCCCAGGACCCTTAGATCATGACCTGAGCTAAAGGCAGACGCTTAACGAGTGAGCCAACCAGGCGCCCCTGGTTGTTTTTTTTTTTTTAAAGATTTCTTTGACAGAAAGAGAGAGAGAGTGTGCATATGTGTATGTGAGCTGGGGGAGGGGTAGAGGGAGACAGAGAGAATCCTTAAGCAGACTCCTCACTGACCGTGGATCTCTAGGCAAGGCTCAATCCCACGACCCTGAGATCATGACCTAAGTCAAAACCAGGAGTCATACGCTTAACCAACTGAGCCACGCAGGCTCCCTGGCTCAGCTCCTGTGGTTTTTGGATTTGACTTATTATTATAATAATTTTCAAACTTACAGAAATGTGAAATAGTACAATGAATAACTGTATCTGCCCACTACTATATGGTTAACTTTTGCCATATTTGCTTCTCTCTTTCCCTCTCCCTCTCCCTCTGTTTCTCTCTCTTTAAATATATATGTGTGTTTAAATATATAATAACATATGTATGTATTTAACAATAATATATATTTAACCCTAACACTTGACTCCTAAATACTTCAGTAGGCATTTCCTAAAAATAAGGACATTCTCCCATACCATTATCACATCCAAGAAAATTTACAATTTTCCCTGAATATTTAAAACCCAGTCCATATTCAGATCCATTTCATCAGTTATCCCATTATATCTTTTTTTTTAAAGATTTATTTATTTATTTGAGAGAGAGAGAGTGAGAGAGAGTGGTGGGAAGGGGCAGAGGGAGAGAATCTCAAGTAGACTCCACGATGAGCGTGGAGCCCGATGTGGGGCTTAATCGCAGGATCCTGAGATCATGACCTGAGCCAAAATCAAGAGTCAGATGCTTAACTGACTGAGCCACCCAGGTGCCCCTCCCCTTATATCTTTTATAAATGAATTTTTCCCCCTGCTAAATCGGGATCTGATCAAGGAATCTAGAACAGTCCCTCCACCACCTGTTTTTTTCAATGAATTTTTTAACAGACTAAGTCAGTTGTTTATATATTTGTCTTGATTATGTCCTATGGTTTCATTTACTTCTGTCTTCTGTTTCCTATAATTCTGAAAACTAGAAGTTATGTCTAAAGGCTTGATTTGTTTTGGATTACATTCCTGTGGACTTTGACCTCCACTTCTCATGGCCCAACTAGATCTTGCAAAGGGCAGGTGTCTAGACGCTCCAGCTGTGCAGTGAACTCCACAGAAGGAGCTTGATCTCTCTAACCTTGTCTTCAAACCCTTCAGCCTCTGGGACACATTTTTCTCTCAGCTGAGAGATGAAGGCTTGGCTTAGAGCCAGGGAGCTGACACGTTTATTAATTATATTAACAGTGACAATTAATAATTGTCCAGTTGACAATAATCAGGACAATAATATGGCCACCATTCATTGAGCTGCCATCTGTGCAGCTCAGTATTTGGCCTGTTACATATGGATTTTGGTTAGCCTTCACAACAGTCCTTTGGAATTTAGGTGTCAGTACATTCATACAGAAGCAGCAAGGGAGGCTCGAGAGGTTAAATCACCTGAAGACCTTGACTGAGCCGAGTTGACTTCAGAACTTCTTCCAGTGTCCAGTCCCAGATATAACTCAAAAGTTTCTCAATGGTGGTATCTCTTGGGTTTCTTAGCAAACAGCTGAATAATGATACAAATGCTCATGTAGTACTTACTACATGCCAGGAACATCTCCAGGGACTTTACATAATTTTATCCTCCCAACAACTCTCTGAGGAGCATCTCATTGATGAAGAAAAACCGAAGTACAGAGATGTCAAGTGACCTGTCAGAGATCACAAAGATAGAGAATGGCAGAACTGGGAATCACACCCAGGCAGTCTGGTCCCAGAGTCCATGCGTTTAGCCAACCACTGTTGTTCAGCCAAAAAGGGATTTCTTTTTTTTTTTTTTTTAAGATTTTATGTATTTATTTGAGAGAGAGAGAGAGAGAGAAACAGCATGAGAGGGGAGAGGGTCAGAGGGAGAAGCAGGCTCCCCGCTGAGCTGGGAGCCCGATGTGGGACTCGATCCCAGGACTCCAGGATCATGACCTGAGCCGAAGGCAGTCACTTAACCAACTGAGCCACCCAGGCGCCCCAAAAAGGGATTTCTTAAAGGCTCCTAGGAAGCTTGTAGGAAGTCTGAGAGGGCCAGGGATTAGGTTTTTGGGCCTTGTGGCTGGGAACAACATCCACATCACATTGATCCAGCCACGGTGGTGGGAGCATTCTGTGAGAAACTCATAGGTCATCAGAAGAGCATTATCAGGGCTTTCACTGTTTTGGTTACTTTCTGAAACCTTTGGAGGATGTTAGAGTGGCATACCTATTCCAATTCTCTTTCCCTCAGGGGACTATATTCCACGGCAGGTACAAACCTGGATTCAGCAGTATCGAGCCTCAGAAACCAGCACCATCCCCGCGATGGAGAGGCTCATCCAATGGCTGCCCCACCATCTTCCCAGGCGACAGAACACGACAGTGGTGCATGGGGACTTCAGGTAGGCACGACTATGAGGAGGGGTGAATATCTAGATGTGAAAAATTATGGCCAGGGCAGTTGAAGGGGAAATTAAGCAGCTGGCCTGAGCCCAATTTACAGTTGAGGAGGACTCCCTTTACAAAGGATCTACGTGTGCATGACCTTCTAGGGCAGGGTCTCTCCACCTTGCCTGTTGACATCTGGGGCCAGATAATTCGTTATGACTGGGGGCTGTCGTATTGCCCCCAGGTTTGAAAGTGCACACAGGTGCTCCAGTTACTGTGACCACATAAAAATCTTCCAAATCGCACGGCTTCAAACAACGACAGAAGTTGTTCTGCTCACGAATCTGCAGTTTGGGGAAAGGATCACTTGTTTCAGCTGGGGTGGCTG